AAAAGCTGCTGCATCTGTTAAGGAAAAAAAAGATTAATTTAGTATAACATGACTTGAGTGCTAGCATACTCTTAAAAAAAACCCCCACATATTAGAAATCTTTCTAAATGGGCCATACTGCAGAAAAGGCCCTAGATAAAGCCCAATCAACAGCAGCCTAATGAGATTAGGAGACATAAACTGCTTTAAAAAATAAGGCTTCATCAATAATCAGAGTTGGCCACTATAATTTTGTAGGCAAACAGAATTATGGAAGGTTTTCCTATAATGAAAAAGCCTAAAATTAAGATCAAAGTGCACCAACTGAGCATGCCTGAAAGAGACTGCCACCCCTCGTCCCCATCAGGCCTGCAAAAGGGACCCAACAGTCAAGGGTCCCTCGCTGAAGACGAGAATAGCAGACTCTGCAGCTGCCCGTCGATGGGAATAAACTTCTGATGGAGCCAGAACTCCAGGAGCACAACCCGAGCACAGGATTAACACTGCTTCCCGGGAGCTAAAGTAAAGGCAAGGCGGTGAGAGGCAGGAGGAGACCCGCTTCTGGAGGCGTGTGCTGTCAGGGTGAGACGAGGTTCTGCAGAGTCTCTGGAAGCGAGCCTGAGTGGAAAACCCTCTACAAGCCTGCCTGTCCCCTGTGGACACGGACCGTGCTCCTGCGTGCTCAGCACCGGGTCTCCAGCACCAGCAGAAGCTCGTGCCTGGGGGCTCGGGAAGTGCCGGCAGAGGGGAAGGGCGTGGAATGAACAGGGCTCATCGTCCCACAAACTCTCCCTCTGTCCTAGGACACAGGTCCTAGGGGAGTGTAAGCTTGAGGGCCACCAGCCAAAACGGGGTCAGCAGAAACAGGTTCCCTCGGGAGGGAATGTGCTTAACGCTCAGTACGTTTGGGGACGGAGATGATGGTTTTACAAAGCCTTCTAGAATGAAGAATAGTATTTCACACACACACACACACACAAAAAAAGTTTAGATGTTTAATAAAAACAACATTTGAGGTTTGTATCTGGCAAATCTGTTCTGTTTCCTTCATTTAAGGTTCACAGTTTTCTTTTTTGGTCATATTATTAAGGGACAGTATGGATTTGGGCTGAATAGTTCATTTGCCTTTGGACAGTCATATTTTTTACTTTTTTCCTGAGTCACTTCGACTACCACAATAACAGAAAAACGTAGATTGGTATATTTATATTCCATTTTCCTTTCCTATACAATACTATAAGCTACCAATAAATAAGAACAGTAAGAGTAAAAAGAAGGGAAATGCTGTCAAAGAATGTCGTGAAGAAAAAAGAGAAAAAGGAGCTCCCACGCCGGCCAGTCCGGGCCCCAACACGCTTCCCACTCACTCAGGGCCTGAGCAGCGCCGACCTTCCCTCCTGGACGCCCGTGGAGTCGGTCTCAGAGCAGGAATTAGAAGGGAATTACGATGCCCTCAAAGTGCCACTACTGTTTCTGACGTTGCTTCCCACAACGTTTATGATCCACATGTGAGATACATACATGGAATTACCCAGAGAAATCACTGCCAAATTTTGCAATTAATTAAAAAAGGCAGTTATTTTTTTTATTTTTTTATTTTTTTGAGACAGAGTCTTGCTCTGTTGCCCGGGCTAGAGTGCCGTGGCGTCAGCCTAGCTCACGGCAACCTCAGACTCCTGGGCTCAAGAGAGCCTTCTGCCTCAGCCTCCTGCGTAGCTGGGACTACAGGCATGCGCCACCATGCCCGGCTAATTTTTTTTCTATTTATTTAGTTGTCCGATTAATTTCTTTCTATTTTTAGTAGAGACGGGGTCTCGCTCTTGCTCAGGCTGGTCTCAAACTCCTGAGCTCAAACAATCCGCCCGCCCCGGCCTCCCAGAGTGCTAGGATTACAGGCGTGAGCCACCGCGCCCGGCCGGCAGTTATGTTTTAAAAAAAAAAAAGGAAGGGGGGAACTGAGCCTCCCTAATCTAGGAGGATGAGCACCGACCCTTCTGTGTGACCAGAGGAACCAGGTGCTGTCAGGCCACGACAGGCAGTGGATACTTAGGTGGAATTTTACCTGCTGCCTACTATCGACTACAGGAAGGCAAACCTCAAACTCTTGCTTTAAATGACCTGAAGGAAAGACATAATCTGGGGCTTGCTGAGGGAAGGCAGGAAGTGACTGGTTCTGGGACTCCTTCAAGCCCTTCGTGGGCTGGCCAGATAAAAACTACACTAAGATAAATGCGCTCCAAGTTTGGACGACCATGATTATTTCTCTTTCTACTCTGCTCCTGATGTGGGTCACAACAATATTAGTCTAATGAACTTCCCGCCCAAAGTGTCCTGGCTGCTCATCTTCCAGCCAGGCTGATTCTTGGGTGCAAACTGCAGGACTACAAGGTGACGAGTTAGTGTAGTCTGAGGATTCAAAATGATGATGAAAGGTTTAGAAAAATTCTTTGCAAGACTAAAAGCTTGAAACAAAGTCATTTCACCATCCTGTTGGGGCGCTCACTCCTTGTGTGACCCACCAGTAACAAGAACCTGCCACTGAGCTTCAGAACATGCTCCCAGGCTCCAAGAAGCCATTCCTCCTGTCTCGCCAAGGCCAGCCTTTGTAACATGAATCAAGTAGCTGCATGCCATTGGCCTGTGATTGCACCTGAGGACACCACCGTGTAAGGAAGGCTCTGCCACAGCGAGGAAACCATCGATCTACCTGCTCCATAACCGGGGACTAGTAAATCATTAGTGTCCGCCATGTGATGGAAAGCTAGGTAATAATTTTAGCAGAGATTTTATTTCAAGTATATATATATATTATTTCCATTTCATCTGCTTATAACTTTCAGGTTTTTGACAATGAACATGAAAAACCACAATTTTGGAAGGTCCCTTCATTTCCAAGAATGTCAGTGCACTGAACCATCAATTTGGCCTTACAAGTTGTTTTCTGGAATTAGGTAAGAACAGTCTGAACAGGTGCTGTTCCTTCCTCTGCCACGCAGATGGCCTTTGTGCTGCCAGTCTCATCTCCTCTGTATCTAGATCTTTCTTTCTGGCCCCACTGGTTATGCCACAGCCTCCCTATGAGTCTCCTTGCAAAATTCCATGTTTCTTTCCTCAATTTCGTTCTTGACATTGTAGCAAAAATGTTATTCTTAGAATATAAATTGGAGACTTAAGGCTGAATAGGAGTTGTAGAACTTACATGATTTTCTCCCCTCTTCCCAAATATAGTTGACAGGTGAACAACTCGGGGGTTGAGACATCAACCACTGCAGAGTCAAAAACCCACAAAAGCCTCTGACTGCCCAAAAACTTAGATACTAATAGTCTCCTATTGACTTGGAAGCCTTACTGATAACAGTCAATTAACACATTTTGTATGTCATACGTATTATATGCTACATTCTTACAATAAAGTAAGCTAGAGAAAAAAAATGTTATTAAGAAAATCATAAGAGAAAATACACTGACAGTATTGTACTGTATTAATCAAAAT